CCCCAACATTTCGCTTTCGAACACTGAAAAACGCAGCTTTATAGCTACTTTCTAGAAAAAGTTATTGAGAAAATGGCCGTGGTCTTTCTTTTTTGAAATGGATAGTAGTTTAACTCAACATAATGATGAATATCACGTTTAAAAGATTTTAAATCAGCAGCATCGTGGTCTTCTTGTTTTGTGGAGATGCCATTTCACAGTGGAACACCCCTTTCCGGGCATTTTCATCATTTTAGCAAAACACTTTCATGAGTTGATACCGACAGATTACAATCTACATGTACCGCGCTGCAAAGTCTCTAATCGACAAACAGTTCCAAAATGTTTAACTTTCTTTTGTATTTTTCTGAATGAAAGAGAACAATTTAAAGTAAACCAAGTCCATATTTGTAATCAGCGTCAAAAACTGAATCAGATGGTGCGTTTGTTAAAGGTTCTTATTTTTAAATAAATGTTTCGAAAAGTTTTCAGAAAAACACATCACTCGATTCAGTTTGCTTTAAAGTGCTTTCTTTATATAGAAAAACACAAGAGAGAGTTATATGATACTTTCCGTTCTTTCTTTTTGAGAAACGAAAGAAGAAAAGTCAGTTTTTACTTTTCGGTTTTTGCTACTCATATTGAAGAAAAATGTTTTCTTCTGCTGCTAATGGGTGCAGCAGAATAAATGCATCACAGCGCACAATATCGCTTATTTTCAAATTTAGTACTTTTAGCTGAGGCGGACATCTCTGCGAAGCAGCAACAGTTCTTCTGAATTCTGATAGTCTTCTGAATTTATTCGACCAGAGATCATGAGCATACACAAATAGCAAACAGCTAGTACAAGACACTAAAAAGGACCTTATGGTATGACCATTCACACCCACACATAAAATAACAATAAAGAAACTACAAGATACCAAAAATGCAAAAAAGAAAAGGAAAGAAAAAAGAAAAAACTAGCAATAAACCAGAAAAAAGTCCTATCGACTAGGCTAACAGCCGAGAACAACAAAAGGCATAAAAATTACAGTTGGAGGTGATTCGTCACGTTATTTTTAAATTTTTTTAGGTTTAGTGTAGATGTTAAGTCATTCCGTAAAAAGTTATACTCTCCAGGAGTGTTCCAAAAAAAGGACGAACGAACAACAGAAAAGGACGAGAAAGGTACTTGCATGGTAGTTGTAAGAGTTAAACGAGTATCATAAGTGGAATTGTATGGCATAATAAACAATGACGCATCCAAGAGAGATAGATTTTTGTGAATCGAATGAAATTTTGGTTAAACGAAAAAGTTGGCGTCTCTTCTTTAAGCCCGTTAGATCACACTTTAACGCAAGAGCTAGGCTACTGTCGTAATAGTTGAAATTTCTAGAGATTATACGGACTGCGAGTCGTTGGACACTTTCTAAGGATTGCAAATGGGTAGAAAAATCGGAATCAAATACTGCACTATCGTAGTCCATCTTAGGTAATACGCAGATTTTGTAAAGTAGCTGACGGACAAACGGTGGCGCGTCTCGAAAAACCCTGTAGATGGCACCTAGCAATCGCCTACAAGAAAAAGCGGTTTCACTGATATGAGGTTCATATCGCTTGAAAAGGTTAATTCTAATAGTTTAGGGTGGAAGTCGACGGAGAGAGCCTTAGCTGCTACTTGCAACAGTAGAGGCTGTGTTGAAGACCTAGTAGAAGAGAAAAATGAAAACCAAGTGAAAGTTTCGAAATACACATCAGTCGACTCAGTTTTCGATCCTGATTGCGAATATGATATTTTATTACGTAGAAGCTGAGTTCTGATTGAGGAAACTGCGAATTACGAGCAGAATTCCGACGTTTTCGTCTCTGATTTAGGAAAAATAGTTTTCTATAGTCAGTTTTGCATGCTGAATCAGAAAAAATTAGGTTCAAAATGATAGATCAGGAAAAAAAAAGAAAATTTTGGTTATTTCACAGAATTTCATGTATTTTTGCCTTTTTTTAAAAATCAATTTTCTGAAAATTTTTCATCCAAAAATGACTTCAGTAAGTCTCAAGTGGACTTTTTTCTATCTAACTCGATGAGCTTTATCCAACTATAGCAGAGAGAAAGGGAAAAAAATTCTGCTCCCTTTTTGCATTAATTGCATCTTAGAAGGAGATGCATTAGTAGTCTGATTTACTATGCTTGCAGTCCTAGCTAAAGAAAAGCATGCAGAAAAGTAGTTATTAAACATGTCGGCGGTCTGTTTGTCAGATGAAGAGATATGATTTTGACCGTCAGTGAAAAATTTCGACATCCGAGCCTCATTGTTTTGGAACTTATTCAGAGAAGTCCAGAAACGTTTTGGGTCGCTGAAAGTAGAGGAATTTTTTCTAAACAACTTTTGTTTATCTCGCTTTACGGAAGAAATTACTTTGTTACCTAACGCTTTGTAGGATTGATAGTAGGTGCCGACAAAGAAGAACGAAATTTTTTGAAGGCTCGGTGGCGCTTAGCAATGAGATTACCAGTTATATGCGACAGAGATAGAGCAGCAGAGTTCTTTTCGTATGATATCCGTTTAAGTGGAACACATATAGAAAGACAACTGTTCACATGATTTTCCCAAACATTTGCTGCCTCTGATGGGTCTTCTGTATCGAAAAAAGCTTCAGGAATTTGTTCAAGCGCAAGATACAGAGAAGGGAGATTAGAAGAGGAAAAATCACAAACATACTTAAATTCAGCTGTTATTTTGTATTGAATGCTAAAATCGAGTTCGTAGAACAAACAAAAAGGCATAGATTTGCCAACAGAGTACTGATCTGTCACATGAGGTGGTCTAAGGTGAGATGAATAGAGAACATAATCTAAACAACTGTCATTCGTTGTAGTCACACGGCTAGAATCACAGTGAAAATGAAACACATTAGAAAAAGCGAGAAGAGAATTGAAGACATGGATATTGTTACGAAGTAATTGTTAGCGAACGCTCTGTTTTATAAGATCATTTATTTATTCTGTCTCTTCACGTTTAAATCGTACCATCTTATCTCTTTTTTTGAATATCCATTATACTGGTTTGTATTCATTTATATAAGCAACGTGCCATATTATTCTTCTTTTCGAGGTTATACTATTTCGCTTTTCGAAGTTATATTATTTCTTTGTTTTCGACTATGTGATGTACTATTCTATTCTTTGTTGTATTATGTAAAGATGTTTTTTTGTCATATAAAAAGGAGTAAACTGGGTCATTTTGCCCGGGATTGTTGGCATCGAAAAAACGAATAATGGAGTCACGCGATGGTAGTGCCTCCAAAACATCTACATCAAATCCATCATTATCATTTATCAAAGTTCTGACCAATGGTGTCCCGATGAAAGCACTAGTTGATACAGGCTCTACCATCTCCATTATTAGCACAGCAGCATTTCAAAGAAGTCGACACCTACCACCAATCAAATATCGTTCAACTACCTGTGGTACCGCGAATAATACAGAATTGCACCTTGGACCATTGATAGCGGTATATATGGCAATAATTGTTTATGTGTATTGTGTTTCCCTTTTCTGATGATGATCTTGTACAAAATTCCATCTTGAACTTCTAGTGAACCGTTGTTCTTTTGTTTATATAATTGCTTAATGATGTTCTGAATGTTTGTATCACGTTGCTGTTCCGTTTTTAATCGAGTGATGTCAAAAGTTTTTCACGATAATGTGGAAGTTGTTATTGATACCCTTGGTGGTGGTATAGTAGTAGAACTATTTATCGCTTGACCTGTTGCCATATTGGTAGTGACAGACAATCAGCACAGTGATTCATTCTACCCGGTTTGTGAATAATCTGAAATGAATATTCTTATAATTCCAAGGCCCATCTATTTAATTTATTGTTACTGAATCTATTCTTATTCGGTCAACTAAGAGGATAGTGGTCAATGACGACTGTGAAGTCTCTATCATATAAATAATTTCGTAATCTTTTTATACACCATACAATTGCAAGGCATTCTTTTTCGGTTGTAGCATAATGTTTTTCCGCCTTATTAATACTTCTTGAAAGATACATGACAGGTTTTTCGCCCTGATCAACCACATCATTTAACACACCTCCAATACCAACCTCTGAGACGTCGGTATAAAGTTTATATGGTAAAGTATCGCCCGGAAAATGTAGTACTGGTTCTGTGGTCAATATTTGTTTGATATGATCTAATGCTTGCTGTTGTTCTTCACCTCAAATAAACTTGACATTCTTTTTGGAAAATTTATGCAACAGAGCAGCTATAGTGGAAAAATTAGGAATGAATTTGCGATACCATTGTGCTCATCCATAAAATGAACGTGCAGGCTTTTGATGATTCCAGTTTTGGTACATCTAAAATAGCTTTCACCTTCTCCCTTAACGGTTGAATTCCATTTGGACCAATGTAATGACCTAAATAGTCAATATGTTGTTTGAAAAAGTCGCATTTTAGCGGATTTAACTGAAAATTACGTTTGTGTAACACGGCACAAACAGATTCTACATCTTTAATATGTTGTTGAAACGATTATATATTACAATATCGCCAAGATATGCTAAACATACATCCCAACGCATTTTACCCAAAATGTTGTGCATAGGGCGTAGGAAAGTAGGAGGTGCGTTGAGAAGTCCTTGTGAAAGTACGTGATCAAATAAAAATTGGTCCCTTTCATGTTCAGAGTTAACGTAGTGTACAAAACTATTATATATAAACGCTATATAACGGAGGAATAATAGAGAAAGAGCGGCATATATTTTAAAACGTTCCCTTACCAAAATTGAAAAAGTAAAAGAAAATGGATCAGAGCAAGTTTTGTTACATAAAACTGAGACAAATTCTTTTCTGAGTTGATCCGTACGTTTTTCTCAACGAAAACAAGTAAGTACACAAAACGATAAAAGTTCGAAAACAAAGCAAAAAAACAATAAATATGTACTGATAACTTGATCACTATGTTCTTCTTTTCGGTATTCATATGTTATTTTTCGTTATTTTCTCTATACATTTCTGTTTTCTTTCGCTGTTATGACTTATTCCATACTGTTTTTCGTTCTTATTGTTCATTTCTATATGTATAAACCGGAGCAACGATTAATGAAAGAGCTCAGACCGAAATTACATGTCCGATATCTGTCCTGTGATACAGCTGATAAAATAGGCCGAAACTTTAAGCCGTACAGAAAACAACTGCCACTAAATAGTCATTGATAAAATACACATATACCTGCGAAACATATATATTAGTGGTATCACTTTACTTTTACTTATTTGTTACCTTTCCGGAAAAAGTAACAAATTTTTTCATTGCTTTACACTTTACTTTTCAGCGGTAACAAAGAAAATTGCTTGTTACTTGTAACAAGAGATAGTTAAACATTTTTTGTTACCGGTAACAGGTAACAACTTTTATTACCTTGTTACTCTTTGCTAGTAAGAGGTAACCCAAAAAGAGTTACTTTCTTACTTCATTTCTTGTTACGAGTAACAAGTAACAACTTCTATTACTTTGTTACGTTAAGCAAAAGAAATAAAGTAAGTACCTCAATAATAGAGAAAAAAAGAGGAAAGACGGAGTGGATGCGAAAATTCACATTTCTGTATTCTCTAATCTCTTGTACAATATTTCTCCACGCAGTTCATTTTTACTTCCTCATCCGTTCGTCTATCCTGCAGACAGAAAAACATTAGACTAGAACTCTATTACAGTATGGATAATAGGTCTATGGCTTTTACAACAATATACTTTCGAATAGTCTCTAGAAATGAGACCGAAACTAAGAATATATTACTTAAAAACAAGAAAAACAAAGTTACTTTGTTACTTTTGCTAAACTTTTCTTGTTACCACTTACTAGTAAAAAGTAACTTTTTCTGTTAGTTTCATGGGTAAAAGTAACAGAGTAACAAAATAAGTTACTAGTAACTAGTAAGCAAATAACGAAAATAGTTACCGCTTCTAGTAAAAAGTAACTTTTAAACATCTCTTGTTACTAGTAAAGAAACAGTAAAGTGACACCCCTAGTGAGTGTAAATCAATACGATTAGAGAGAAATATCTTTCAAAATATAAAAATGCAAACGTAGAACTGTGTGTGCGGAGGGGGGGGGGGGAGGGCGAGGGAAGATGGTTGTGAGTAGCTATACAACTAGACAAGCGTGCTAATGACATGTGGAAATATATAGTGTCTGATAGTATCTTATAGAACCTGATAGTACTTGACATATTCATATATAGACCTAGATATATATCATATATATATAATTTTGAATTATTTTGTAATTCATTTCCGTCATGAACTCAAACTTGCACAACGTCTGTTGACTACATTCCCTAACATAGAACCTTGAAGTTGGTGTCAAATGAAAGAGCGCATCGAGTTCTTCATATTTCGATGGAGAAAAGTACATGTCACAGTCTATCGATAGAGATTTCTGAAAAACACGGTTTTCTAGAAAACCTAGTGAACTTTAAGTTTCTTTCAGAAGCTTTCAACCGTATCATTAGACAGTCCCTTCAATTCTCCATAACATAAGATGTCGCCTTGGTATCTGCGATCCAGGTCAACCGAGTCACAGGCCTTTTACCATTATGAATATAAATTCAGTTGAGTTCGTTTTCGAACAAAAGCATTAAGATTGGTGTAAATTAGATTATGCAAAGCAAAATGCTGCAAATGCAAAAGAATTTATAATGAAAGAACAGGAAGCAGCCAGAAAAGAACAACAATGAAGAGATGCTGAAGAAGCAAGAAAGAAAGCAGAGGAGAATGCAAAGACAGCAGACGAAGCATGGAAAAAAGATACCAGGCAATGAGAGCAAATGATTTATTTTGGCAACATCAACAGTAAATTCAACAAAATGCAGACTATCATCATCATCATTCGAATTCGAATCGTCAAACTGATTAAAACATCAATACTTTCTAACTTCCTCTTTTTTTTAAACCCACAGTTCTCTCTCATTCAAAATTTTAGTTTTCTTTTGTATGCTGAATGTTTTTTTGCCACTAATAATTAGTCCACGCATCCAACCAATATCTATCTGTAGTTCCCACTGCAGTTATCAAGAGTAAAAATTTAGTAAGTAGACAATCCAATACAATTACCGCCGAAGGTTTTGCATTGAAGAACTTAGTGACTATATATATACTCACGAGGGAAGTACCCCAACTGATAAATGGTTTTTCGAACGAAACCTAGTGGACTATAGGTAGTCGACGATGCTGATTCTAAATATCATCATGAATGCTGCTGGGCCTTCAAAGACTAGTTTCTGGAAAACCAGCTTCCTTTGCAAAGTTATAGAATTTAGTAGAAAAGCCCTAAATTCCTTTTTCCTTTTTGTTTCTGTAGCTCTGTGGTGCCAATGAACATTTAGGGCTTTTCTTGTAAACTCTATAACTTTGCAAAGAAAGGTCGTGTAGAGCTGGGAGATGCCTCGTTTTAATCAAAAGTTTGCGGGCTGCAATACCACCTCATTAAGAAAGCTTTTGGTTGTATCAGAGTAAATCGTTAACTCTTTAAAGTAAAGCTTTTTTTCTTTCCAATAGATAAAAATTGCAGATAACTGCTGCGAAGTTTGGAATAGTCGTTTACATCTGATTTCTTCTTCAACCGTGAAGATGGCTAAAAAACAGCTGATGAAAATTTTAAATATTACACATCGTTTGAATGCATCTCGACAAGGCGAATTGAAAGGCACTGAATATTCAACTGTGGAAAGTTCTACAAAATTTGTGTCTTACATATTTTATACTATAATGTCAAGTTTTCAAGAAAGAAATCAACTTTCCCATCGAATTTGTTTTCTGCAAACACAACTCTCATATTCTTTCTTGTATAAAGTTCGCACATATCGCATGAGACTGCGTTTTGTGGATCTTGTCGAAGCCTAGTTATCAAAAAAAAGAACGTATTATAATATATAGTTCTCACCTCCTTATTGCCATAGGAACGAATTTTTGCTATATACCTGGATAAGAGTTACAGTCATGTTATAAAAGTATTCGAACACTTTTCTAAGGTTTTTTACGATACGATTTTTGAAAAAGTTTTTCAGGTGGTCGTCCAGAGACCAGGTGTACATTTTATTTCGGACAACATCATCTCTCTGTCACACACACAAACTTTCTTTATACTTTCGCTTTTTTATTTTAAAAGATAACAAATAACTTTCACAACAAAAAGATGCAGTTTCAGTTTATATCGTCATTTTCCCTCTGACAATAGAGATCACCACTTTCTAGTACGAACTTTTGAATGCGGCCTTTTTTCGGATTACCAACATACATGTTTCCTTTTGAATCGATTGCTGCACTAACTGGATTAAACAGATGTTCATCATCGTATCCCTGAACATGTATTACACCAGCTATAATGTGAGATCCGCCATATTTTGCACTCCGTCTTGAAACAATCTTATAAGAATATATTATATGCACCTTTGGAACGAAGCAAATACGTAAATAATAAGTCAAAAGGTCTTTTACAAGGCAAAAATGAGCACAATAAGGCTACAAATTAAAATATGTATCCAGTATTTTGTTCAAAATCTTTTTACAATTGAAAAACGATACTGTGCGCTCTTTCTACTCTCTTTTAAGGATCACCTACCTATACACAACTATACGTACAAACTGATCATACAAAATTACCACTTTACGTACCACCAAGCAAAATGCAAACAAACGTCATACAATGGTCACTACGTCAGATCTGATCATCAAAAACTTTATACATTAGACATTTTGTGTGAACAATTTCAAAACCCTCATCTAGAAGGTTTTTGGTAAACTCACTCTCACCTTCACGGTCACTCCAGATACATTTAAAAGAAGTACGATAAGTTCTAAATTGCAATACGTCCTACGAGGTCTCGGAAACATGGTGTAGTCCGGGAAGTGAGATAAATCCCAATCCTCGTACAACGTTTCAGGAGACTCTATAATGACTACATACCCAAAGTTAACTTTTTTGAAAAACGTATCTCAATCCCTTACTCCACGTCTTACAGTACAGCATGATCTGGGAAGTGAGAGGAACGTCTTCTTCAAGCACATCGAAAATATGTAATGACTGACATGAAGAAAATCACAGCTATATATACATCCCAAAAAGCTGCAATTAGAAAAAATCAAGAATCAGGAACTTTCAGAAACTGATGCAGTCAGAAAAAGGAAAAATGCTGCAATCACAAAAATCAAGAATCAGGAAGCAGGAACTTCTGAAAAATACTGCAATCAGAAAAACCAAGAATCATTGAAAAATGATGCAATCAGAAAAAGAAAAATAATTCAGTCAGAAAAATCGAGAAAACTCAAAAAGAGAGAATTATTCTATTTTTCTATTAGAATTTTGATATATCGCATCATCTGAGAAAATGAGAATACGGAAGCCTATATATACCACGACATTTTCATCATACAGTGCCACTTTTTTTCGTTATCAATTTTTCGCTAGTCTGTTGAAAAAGAATATTCGAAACGCGTTCATACTAGGCAGTTTTTTGTCACCTTTCTACTTTCCATTTTAAAAATAAAACCATTCAAAAATTAACAAAAAGATCTTCATCTATTCAGTAACATACTGAAGTTACTTCAAGCATTTCAACATACGGCCAGTCTGACCTGTTACATACTGTTGGTTACTCCGCATCTGTAATTTCAATCACCTTCACTCTCACCTCGAGATAGAAGCAATTGAGAGAGAAATTCATAACGTTCGCTAAAAACTGCTATCCCCCGTTAACCCCCTTTTTCTTGTGCACATCGACATTATCCTTTCAAATCTTTCAAAAAGGAACGAACAAAAGACCCGTAAAAAAGTTCATTTTTTAGAGAAAAGTGCAAAAAAGCAGCCTCCACCGTAAACCTTATAGAGCCTTATGCAAACTCAAAAACCCATCCCCATTACACCACTATCAGTTTCCCGCCTCAAATTAAAAATTACGCCATCAATCTAGACAATCACTAGCGTCAGGCACTGAATAAAGGTCCAGCGTATGTTCCACCTAATCCGATAACAGCGGTTCGTCGCCTCAGCTCTGAGATTGAGACTATACGCCAGAAAATTCAGGCCCGCTTCAACGAGGAAATCCGGGCTCCCGATATTCCTCGCCCAGTAGTTGATTCTTTTGCCGATCGAGTAGATTTTGAGTTGAGAGAGCAAATCTCCAAGCAGCGTTCTGATCCACATCTTTCCGAAGCTATTAGGACCCTCCAGAAACAACTATCTCACGACAGAGTAGTATTTCGAAAAACGGATAAATCAAAAATATTTCACTTGGATACTCCTGCTGCATACCAAACCAAATCAAATGCTTATATGGGAAAAACTAATGCGTATGCAGAAATCCCTGATAATCCTCTTGAACACACTGTTTGTGAATTAGACGAGCTTTTAAGACTATTTCTTCGACAGAAACGTATCACTCAGAAGCAGTATGAGAAACTCAGACCCTCTCTAGATGAGTGCGAACTACCGCATCTATATTACAACCCAAAAGACCAC